AATTTTGCCGGACAAAAAGAAATGACTTTTTCAAAATTTTTGTCCCTTAGTGGCCGGATGTATCCAAATGGATACATTCCCATTTTTTATTATTCGAATTTTTTAAATAATCCGTCTTAGTGATTCAATAGACAGTAGGTCTATGAAGGAAAATTAACAACTGCTTGCTTCGAAGTTTGATTATTTAGAGATACGAGAAAAGGATTATTTCTATACGGACGCTATTTTGGAGCATTTTGGATAGAGCCGGCTATTTTCTTAGTGAGTGTTATTTCCTTCTTCTAAACACGTGAATGTGTGTTGAAATGTGTTAACTTATTTATCAAATCGTCAAAACATTTCATATCATCACTACAAGTTACTTCTTCGTAAAATATTGGCTTCATGTATCCAAATGGATACATCCGACTATAAAGGGCTAAATAAAGAATGTTTGAATTATAGAAAATCTCTAAAAAAGAAATTAGAAAAACAGGAATACAATAATATTGAACAACTGACAAACGACATTAAAAAGAATTGTTTTATTGTCACGTAATCATCAAGATGACGAGAAAAATTGAAAAAACAATATAGTACATGATACTCTTGTTACAGATTCTCATCCATGGTAAAATCTTTAGATTTCGAAGTTTGTAGTTATTTAGTACTAAGTAGTTACAATAATCTGCCAAAGTTTTAAAGAGTTTGCTATTGTTTAATACAAGAACAATCAATTTTAAAATCGTTCAAGAATTTCCAAAACACACTTCTTATATGTCATATATGGATATCGAACTGATATTTGAATTTGTGATATAATGAAGTTCGACAAAAGGATAAAAACATCTACTATGTTCGACATATTTCTATACTTGTTAAAATTTTTTGTTCATTATTAATAAAAAGAAAAATCTCTAACCAAACTCTTTATATATCCATTTGTTTTGTTCAAATATTCAATACAGACGATTTCCTTAATAACGACGGGAAAATTTTGTTTTACCTTGTTTTGTTTGGTACTCGATTATTGTACATCTCATCAAAAATACTTTTATATTTAAAGAATCCTTGGATTCTTTCTCTTTCCAATGATATATAGGTTTCCTTTTACTTACGTGTTATCATGGAGAAATTAGCGGTTTACGATGAAGAAGTCCAACTGTCGCTATTATAATAGCGACAGTTGGACCTCTTCATCGTAGACCACTAATTTCTCCATGATAACACTTAAGTAAAAGGAAACCTATATATCATTGGAAAGAGAAGAATCCAATGATTCTTCAAATATAAAAATATTTTTGATGAGATGTATAATAATCGAGTACGAAACAAAACAAGGTAAGGCAAAATTTTCCCGTCGTTATTAAGGAAATCGTCTGTACTACGACCACAATAATAACTTACAAGTGAAGCTCGACCGCTTGTGCATGGACTTACTTTCTTTTTAGAACAACCAGCATCCAATGAAGTTATTATAAATATGCTGAATATGAATAATACAATTTTCATTACAGTCATTTCTTGTTCTAAATCTATGCCAATACTATTTTGTTTATAAACTGACATCAAACTATTTTATTCTATATTCTTGACACATATTTATATGTACCCATATGATGATTCGATAGACAACAGATGGGTAAATGTCCATCATTTTCATCTGTTGACTAATGGATTTTTTTTTGCTTGTGAAAGTAGATTTCAGTCATTGTTTACTATTATTTATGCATCTACAACATTGTTGAATAATATAAATAAAATAAAAAACTGCTATGTTATCTATTTTTATTAAAATATTATCGATAAATATATAAATCACACCATTGTATTGATTTTATTTTATTACGACGAAAAAAAAAGTTCGTAAAAAAATCTGAAACATTTATAAGTCAACTCAATGTTTAATGTTGATTTCAAATATATTATTAGTTTTGATTCATACCATATTTTTCTGAGTGAAATCTGTTGAGCACTAGTCAAAAAGATACCAAGTCATCTCTTGAGAATAGTCTTCTAGGAAGTTCTGACACGATCAATATTTTCGAAGTTTAGAAAAATAGACGATTCTGTAATGTTTCAAAAGCACTATCGATTGATATATGAAGATTTACATGAACTGAACGATGTAGTTCTCTATCAGTCGACAAGACAACTAGCAGTAGAGTATTTTCAGCTAACCTACCACTGACCTTCAAGGAAATGATAAACAAGAGACACCAAGAAATGTTTTTCAATAGACTTATTCTTACATGAATTTATGTAGATTTCAATGCTCTATCTAATGAAACCATCCTAAAATAAAAGTGATATCGTTATGAAAAGATATCAGCAAGATATCTAACGATTTTGACAATTGTAATCTAAGAGTAATATTTGAAATCATTATTGCTCTAGATATTATCGAATCAATTTGAAACTACTACCAAACAACACAGCATAACATTCTGCATTGAAACA